CCCCCCCCCCGCCAACAATGAGACCCGCGTGCCGGGCGCGCCCTCTCCGCGCCGCGCGCGTAGCTACCAGGGCCGCCCAGCCGCCGCACAGCCCGGGCCCGGCGGGGGAGGCGCCGAGTGGCACATCGCGAGCGCCCGCCCGCCCCGCGCCGCCCGCTCACGCGCCGCCCCCCCGGCCCCCCTGCCCGGCCGCGGCAGCCATGGCCGCGCGCCTCCGCTCGCTCGCTCCCGGCCCGCCTGCCGCCCGCCGCCCGCCGCCGGGTAAAGTCTTAGGTTCAGGGAACAAAGCCTGGCTTGGTAGGGAGCTTTTCGCTGCCTCGCTCCGCGCTCATTTTCCCTCTCTGTTTTTCTTTCTGTAGCCCTCGGTTGTTGCTCATGAATTCTCGCTCTGCCTGCCGTTCCATCTCGATCTCGGTCTCCAGTTCTCCATTCCCCACCGCCCAGGTCTTCGTTTTTGCGTCTGTTCTTCAACCTCAAGGAAACCTACGATCAGGGAAAGGGACGCTAGGAGCAGACGCGACGTGGGCCGCCCTCCCCTCGGTGTCGGGGGGCAGTTCGGCTCTGTGGATTGCCGCTCGTGGGCTCTTCCTCGGTGATCCCTCTGGAGGTAGACACTCATAAGCAGACATTTGTTCATTCAAGAAATATTTATCGAATGCTTACGCTGTAGCCGCGGGTATAGAGCAATGAACAAAACAGGTATTCCTGACCTCGGAGAGCTTCCGGTCCAGCTCACAGACACACACACCCACACACACGTGTACACACAAATCAGGAACTCAGACCCTTTAGAGGCATACCTAGGCACCCACAAACACATAAATTCACTCCTAGCGTCATCCAGCCACACCACCTGACTCTCCCAGAGAAACACAAACCCCAAGTCCAGCCTCGTAGGAGCGCTTAGAGACCCACGCGAGTTAGAGACCCACGACTACAAAAGTGCTCACGAACAACACAGTTACACTTGACCTCTGGGTACACACACAAACACAACATAAACTCACACACAGCATCCCAAAGGATTAAAGTCCCTGAAATTGGGTCTGGGAAGAAGTGAGGGGGAGTCAGCCCAAAGATTCCATCCCCAAGACCGGTGTGGGGCATGGGGAACGAAATGTGAATCCCCCACACACTTCTTAAAAGGGTGGCGTGGACGCCTCCAGTCCAAAGGTCACACTCCCTCAGCGGGCGGTGAGGTGGCGGAGGGTAGAAGGCAGCCCTGGGGGCTTCAACAACACTTCAAAGACTTCGCGGCCCGGAAAGCTTCCTGCCGGGGAGGGGCTGATGGAGACGAGATGGGGAGATCCGCAGGGCGACTGGGGGTGGAAGAGGCTGCCCCCGCCTCGGCGCACTGCCCCCCCTGGCCGACTCTTCCGCCGGGACCGCCTCCTTTTCACCAGCACCTGTTCAACCGGAACATCAAGGGGCCGGGGCCCGCCGCCACCCCTCCTTTCGCGTCTGTTTAGTACCTTTCATCCCTGAGGCAGTGTGGGGGTGGTGGTGGGGGAATCCCCGCCCAGGAGAGAGGGCGGGGGAGAACTTGTCCTTGACCTGGTCTGTGGCGTTAGGGATTTACTCCCTTAATCCAGGCTACCCTGGAGTTTGGGGAGGTCGGGGAAGCTGTGTTCTGGCTGCAAGCCCTCTACGTTCCCTAGTTCTTTCACCGACACGGGAATCCCGGAGGGCTGCCAGGACTGAGAGGCTCTGTCTGAACGCGCGGGGCAGGGAAGAGGCCTGTTTCTGCCGCTTCTGTGCCTGGGGAAGGTGGCCGGAGCCAGGGGACTTTTGCGGGCGGGTCCGAGGGCCGGGATATTTGCGAGGACCCCCACGCGCCAGTATCTTGGTCAGCTTTGTGAACTTCGCTCATACGAAAAGTTAAGAAGCAGATGAGGAGTCTCAGGAGTTTCTAACGAATTACTTTTACTGAAGAGACTAAAACTTCAAGAAAATTAAACGCAAAAATGTCGGCTGTAGCCCTGCACCAGTTTCGGAACATTTGAATATTTGCTTTCGGGACCAACCACGGCCGATGGGGCCGCAGTTTCGTGTTTCGCTGGACGAGGATCACTCGAGGGCCCGTCGGTCCCTGCATCTGGGGGTGGGCAACTTGGGGACTGAGGTCTAAGAAGCATCGTTTCGGGTCCTCACCCCTTGCGAGTACACTGCCCGAAGCTTGTGGGATGAATGCGCGACGATATTTAAGCGTTTAGTAAATGTATCAGGAGCATCGTTTCGTTTAATCCTCCCCATAACCCTTTTGGTTGGGTGTTAATATCCCCCATTTTATAGACGGAGCAACTGAGGTTCCGGCGGATGAAGTGACTTGCCCAAAGTCTCATAGCCTTTAAGCTGGAGAGCGGGGATTTGAACCAAGTATGCCCTTCTCTAGGGCTGAGGCTCCGCCACCACACTGGTCGAATGCCTGTATAGAACTGGGATGTTAGCACAACGCAAATGTTCCTTTCCGAGGTCTGCAGAAACTCGGTTCTTCCCGGGTTAGACTAGATTCCCGCCGGTACTCTCAGGGCTGAGCTGTCAAATTCATCCATCTTGCAATATTTTCCTGAGCACCTACTATGTACTTACACACAAACACACACACACGAAGAGCAAGAGCAGGGCTCAAGTGGTTCAGGTTCGTCTTGCTCTCCTTGGCGTAACTAAACACTGATTGGAGGTGTCACGCCGATCCTGGCTGTGCAGTTTTCGGTAAGTGACTTCACTTCTCAGAGCATTCCGTTTGTCCCTCTTAAATAGGGTGTTAATTCCCTCTGGAAGGGCTGTAGTGAAGATCTAACGAAAATCCTTTTGGAAAGCGCCAAGGCATACAGTTGGCACTCAATCCCTGCTCTTCTCTTCGTCCCTCTAAGAGTGCCAGGACAGTGCATTCCCGCTCCCGCCTCCCGCCTTTTGCATCCACGCCTGTCTCGCGCGTCCCGCGGCTAAGGGACTGGGGCAGAGAGGACCAAACAGAAAATTATTTCCGCCTGCTCGGCCTGCCCCGCCCCGCCCCGCCCCGCCCGTCCCCGGAGCCAGAAGGGGATTGTGGGGCCGCCGCGGCCGCCGCCGGAGTCGAGCGGGGCGGAAGCGCGCTCCGCGCTGCTGCTCGGGCCCGACCGCGCCGGCCCCGGCACCTCCTGGCCCGGGACTCCGAGCGGGTGCCGCCGGGCTTATTTCCACGAAGCCTGGCTCGCCGGTTTCCGGAACCGAGCGGGGGAGGCTGAAAGGTGTTGAGGTTTCGCTTCTGCTAGCCGGATGGGTGCTTGGTTTCTCCGGTCCCGGGGGCGCGTCCTCCCCGTTAGAAAGCCCCTGGCTCCGGGAAAGGACTGCCGGCGCTTGCGGGTTTGCATATCGCTTTCTCCCCCGAAAGCAAAGCTGCTTGACCTTGTGGGGCGTTCAGAGAGGTTACGGTACATCGTTTTCGTAACCCAGGTAGTAATAGGCTTCAGGTAGTTTATCCAGTGGGAGAGCCTGGCTTGGCTGAATAGAAAGAGGGGGGGCTAGAGTCAGAAATCCACTTACTAGCTTTGACCAAGGGTTAGTAATGTCTTATCTGGGACCCTCAGTTTCCCCATCTCCGAATGTGGACAGTAGTGCCAACATCAGGGTTGATGTGGAGCAGTGACACTGTCAAGTGCCCAGCACAGGGGACGGTGATTTCCCTGTCAAAGGTTATGACTCGGCGGTGGTCTCTCTAGTAGGCCTGGTTGGGGTGCAGGGTGGTGTACAGGTTCTTTCCTAAGTCAGACATCCTGTGCAAAAGGGATAGAGGCTCCATTGAAAGAGGAACTGGTGGGAGTAAGGGGATTCCCCAGGCATTAGGGGGCCAGGCGTCATGATTATTGTAAATAATGACTGCCCTGGCGGGATTTTTGGTTTTTCAGATCTTTCAATAGACTTAGGGTCAAGTTCTGCCTCTACTGTTAGCTACCTATGTGACACAGTCTCGCTGCCTCGGTTTGCCAATCTGTAAAATGGGGATAATTGGATCCCCTCCAATCTGCAGGGTTTTGGCAACTCCACCCAGCCAAGTTCTCAGCAGGTGCTTTGAAAGCTGTAAGTCCAGGTAGTCCTTTTGACCATGTTCCGTCACAAGGGACTTTTTTTAGGGAGTTAAGGTAGGTAGGAAGGGAAGAGGTTCATGGGGCGAGGTAGCCATCTGCCCAAACTTTTTCTAGAGCTACCTGGAATCTAGTCCCTGCCCTGCTCCTAACCAGCTGTGTGACCTTGGGCAAAGCAGTTGCCCTCTTGCATTTGTTTGAGTGACTGGATCTTGAAAATCCCCTTAGAGTTAACATTCTGTGGTTGATGACTCTGCTCCTGGGGAATTTTTAAGGCTGAGGGATGACAGATGATAGTGCATTTTCCCTACCATGTTCCTCTTTTCCCCCAGTTCCTCCTGAAGTCTAATTTTCATTCCTCCTGTTATAGTTGCCATCAGGACAAAAGTTGAAAAAGTTGTATTATTTAGACTTTCAGCAAACACTTTATTGAATCATCATGGGTGGGCCAGAGAAGATACACAGATAGCACCTGGAATGGTGGGAATGACAAACATAGAAATGACTTTAATTCAAGATGATAAGGGCTGTGATAGTGCTAAGAACAGTGCTGAAACAGGCAGGAAGGAAATAACTGTGTTTATGGAATCAGGGAAGTCCTGAGCTGGGGCCAAGTGGGTGAAGG